CCCGCCCCCGCCTCCGTCCCGCTTAATAATATAATTAAAAAATTATTTATATATATATATATAAACCAAAATTAGAAATATTTATATGTAAAAATTTATATTATTTTACTTTTCTTTTATTTTTTTAAAATTGTTCATATTTATTTAAAAGAAAAAAAAGAAGAAAAAAAATAGGAGCGGGGGCGGGGGCGGGGCGGGGAAACCTAAACCCCACCGGGATGGGGATGGGTATCTAGATTTTACCCCAAACAGGTATCGGGAGCAGGACCGGGACGATTTAAATTTGCGAGAGCGGAGGCGGGGAACATAAAACCCGCCTCCGCCCTGCCCCGTTGCCATGCCTACCTCTCAAATAGAGATGAGAATAGAATAAATAAAGTTCTAAATACATAAGTTTGACATCTTTTTAAAATTAAGATTTAAATTTCATCTATTATTTATCATAATTATTTTGTAAATTTATCCTTTTTAAAAATCTGATTTGATTTATTAACTTATTTAAAAGTCTATTTCATATTATTATTAAATTTCTTAACAAATTTAATTTTAAATAAATCAAAACTTTATTTTTAAATAAATTAACAAGTTTTTTTTAACAAATTTAATTTTAAATAAGTCATAACTTTATTTTTAAATAAACCAACAAGTCTTTTTTTTTTCTTTTTTACTTTGTATAGTAAAAAAGTAGTTTACTCCATTATTTTTAAAATTCAATTTTAAAAGAATTGAAAAACAATACATTAATGTCCCACAACACAAATTTTCAAAGAACTAATTACTAAAATATGATATGATGTAGCTCCATCTTCATATATTATTTTTTATTATATTGTATAAATAAATAAATTAATCGGATAGGACGTCTAATATAATTTTTTTTAATGAATCTAACATTTTTCCATTCCTACTTGCAAATAATAAGAAGAAAAAAAGAAGGAAAAAAAAAAAAAAAAGAGCAACATATGATTTAAAAACTATATGAATGAAACAACCTAAAATCTAATCATGCATTGTACATGAATGAAAGTCATGTACTATATGACATGTCCAAAAAATTCAAATGATCCCTTTGGCTTGCGCCATACCTATTGGACAAAATAATATTTATTGTTATATTATATTATCTGTAATTAATGTGAAAGTATGTGTTAATTTGTTAATGTAGGAGTTCAAAGAACAGTGACAGAGTTTAGCCCGGGGAAGGTTACTGTGACCGGGACCATGGATGCAAACAAGCTAGTGGAATATGTCTATAGACGCACCAAAAAGCAAGTCAAAATAGTTCCCCAGCCAGAACCTGAAAAGAAAGAAGAAAATAATGAATTTGAGAAACCTGTAGCAGAAGAGGCAAAAGCTGAAGAAGAGAAAGAAGAAAACGCAGAGAAGAAGGAAGAGGAGAAACCAGAAGAAGAAGCCGAGATTGAAGAAGGTGACATAAATGAGAATGAGAATGAAGAAGAGAAAAGTGTGGAAGAAGAAGCCAAAAAAGAAGTGGGTGGTGGTGATGAGAATGGAATGGTGCTTAAGGTTGATGATGAAACTGAAAGCATGGAGAAGGTGATGTACTATAACCATTACCAACCACTCTATGTCATCGAACGAATCCCTCCCCCTCAGCTATTCAGTGATGAAAATCCTAATGCATGCTGCATTTCATAAAAACATCACATCATCAACGAAATTAAGAGGATAAAGTGATAATAAAAAAATTAATTCATCAATATATATCGTTCAAAAATTGATAATTAAATATTAATGTGTTTGTGAGTCATGACTTTTACTTATCAAATATTATTTTAATATAAATAGAAATTGAATCCGAAAACATTTGATTGATCCTTGATGTCCCAGAGGAGAGAATAAAGTGATAAAAGCTTAATATAATTTTTTAAATTTTTTGTTATTAATATTATTGTTGTGTACTAAGGGTTTTTCACACACATGTCTAAAGATGATAATGAGTAAGATTCTATAGTACTCGCCCTCATATTTGCATTTTAAAATAATACTCGTACCTAGTCTCATACCCATGTGGGTAACAATTTTAATTTTTTATGTACCTATTAGATATATTTATACTCGTGCCCGCAATTCGCATTTTATTTATGTATAAAATAAACAAATCAATAAAGAGATAATATTTCACACAAACAAACATAATATTAATTTGTTAACATAATATTAATTTGTTAGGTCTTTAACAATACAAAAATCTATAACAATTCTTATAAATAAAGATTACAAAACATTCAATTCTTGTAAATAAACTTCAAAAAAATTCAACATAATAAAAGTTATAATTAAACTTCCAACATCATAATCATGTGTTAACAATATTCTCCAAGACCTATGAAAAAAATATACAAAATTTAGTTAGATTAAAATTATAGATTAAATTATATACTATAAATTTCAAAGGTGGATGTGAGGTGTAGACAATTATGTGTTTATAAACTCATATTTATCCTTTTGCTTGAATGATATGATCAGACTTTAATTGTGTCCAACAATTATTCTTTCAAATAAAATATCATGGTATAACTCCTCTTGCATCATTGCTCCATCGTTACTCATAATAACAGAACATGCCCCTAATCCTTTATGTTACTGGAAAGACTCTCTTCCATATATGTACCCGCTGTTAAGAAGTCTTTCGATATAAGATATCTTATATCTAGATCTACATGCCAACTCCATCATACTCGTTGAGTTGTGTACTTGCAAGAGGGTACTCCGATAATTTTGCTACTCCTGCTGGGTCTTCGTCTTCCATGAGGTATCCTAGGAAAAGAGAGGGGTACCTGCAAAAGGCACTCCAATGCTTAAGTCAGTCCTTAGTCTCAGAGATATCAATGCTAATCAAATTGGTAATTATCAAAACGTACCTCTCTTTGTCACTGGTCATACTTATTTATACTAACCTTGATGGGACAGGCCCATATGCAAGCCCATAAGAGGATCCATTAATGATACGAGAAGTCTTCAATGTGATCGTGAGGAGTTATAGATTCTTCTAAGGTGCTTTCCCTAATATTCATACCATTATTATCCGGTATACATGCCCCCAGGGTTTCAAGGCTTTTTGATAAATATTAAAAAATGGAGAAATCCAAAAAAGAAATGTTTGCGGATCTTTTCTGCTGCTTTCTCTGATATTGTCGTCTTTCAATTAATGTGAGGCTGCTGCTTTCAATCATACTTGGCCGAGGACTACCATATTTATGTATATAAAACTTTGGCTTTCAAAACTTTTTCACCAAAGAATCTTTTATATGTGAGATTTCTCGCTTTTAAACGTTTGGCCGAAGACCAAAACGATTTCCTTAATAAGATTCCTTTTAACTAAGAGCTGAGTAGGACCCTTGCCTTTGTCCTTTAAAAGATTCTTTTTAACTCCTTTGACCGAGGGCATAAATCAAGTAATTTTTTATTCTTTTTAACTCCTTTGACCGAGGGCATAAATCAAGTAATTTTTTATTCTTTTTAACTCCTTTGACCGAGGGCATAAATCAAGCAATTTTTGATTCTTTTTAACTCCTTTGACCGAGGGCATAAATCAAGCAATTTTTGATTCCTTTTAACTCCTTTTAATAATGTATAAAAACAGTTTTTAGGAGTTTTTCCTTGGCGGAAGAGTCATAATTATTACAAGGGAACTTGGTAAGTTTTTAACCGAAGGGTTGTAAGCTTTTGGCCTTGACAAATTTTGGCCGAAGGGGCTTCAACACCTCGCTTTTGAATCACATCATTTTCAATAAAACCGAGCACTTTTAATGTTAAGCCTAGCTTTTGCTAAGGTTTTTCGACCGTGGACTTTTTAATATCACAAATAACTTGAAAAGTTTTTGGCCGAGGGTTATAAACATTTAACCCTGGCAATTCTTTGGTTGTGAACCATTAATATATAAAATTTAGCTTTCAAGTTTTTTGGCCGATGCCTATTTATATATAAAATTTTTGTAATCATTGTTTTTGAAAAGGTTTTTACGCAGTGGATTTTGACCGCGATGTCATAATATTATAACATTGAAAGTTTTGATTAAAAGCCGAGGCCGAGGGGTCTAAAATGCCTAAAGTCGTGTTCAATGGATTATGTCTTCGGTTAATACATATTGATTTGTTTGAAGTTACTTTTGACCGAATGCGTTCCGGTCGAGGTACCATGTGTGTTGGACGTTATACTTCGGCTGAGGTCTTGAGTTGTTTTCCGTACTCGACTGAGTGTATCTTCGGTCAAGGTTTTGATTTGTTTTTCACTCTCGACCGAGTGTGTCCTCGGTCAAGGTTTTGATTTGTTTTTCATGCTCGACTGCTAGTTCTAAAGATAAAAATCCCATTACAGCATCCATGAGTTATTTCGGAGTCATACAAGACATATGGGAAATTGATTATGTTACGTTTAGAGTGTCTGTGTTCAAGTGTAAATGGGTTGATGGTAATACGGGTGTGCGGACAGATGATTTAGGATTTACTTTGGTTGATTTGAACAAGGTCGGTTATAAGGATAAACCTTTTATTATGGCATATCAAGCAAGACAATTTTTTATGTCAAGGATCCATGTAATGAGAAATGGTCAGTGGTCCTCGAAGGAAGAACCATGCATGGAACTCACGAAGATGACTCTCTAGATATGCATGAGACACCATCTTTCTCAAGCAGATTATTTGGTCCTATTTGGACAATGAAGTGGACGAAATACATGCTATTCGAAGTGATCATGATGAAGAAATATGGATGTGTCCTCGGCCGAGGTCTTGATTCATTTTTCACGCTCGATCGAGTGTGTCCTGGCCGAGGTCTTGAGTTGTTTTTCACACTCGACTGAGTGTGTCCTCGGTCGAGGTCTTGAGTTGTTTTTTCATACTCGACCGAGTGTGTCCTTGGCCGAGGTCTTGAGCTGTTTTTCAAGATCGACCGAGTGTGTCCTCGACCGAGGTCTTGATTTATTTCTTACGCTCGACCGAGTGTGTCCTCGGCCGAGGTCTTGATTCATTTTTCACGCTTGACCGAGTGTGTCCTCGGCCGAGGTTTTGATTCGTTTTTCACGCTCGACCGAGTGTGTCCTCGGCCAAGGTCTTGATTCATTTTTCACGCTCGACCGAGTGTGTCCTCGGCCGAGGTCTTGAGTTGTTTTTCACGCTCGACCGAGTGTGTCCTCGGCCGAGGTCTTGAGTTGTTTTTCACGCTCGACCGAGTGTGTCCTCGGCCGAGGTCTTGAGTTGTTTTTCACGCTCGACCGAGTGTGTCCTCGGCCGAGGTCTTGAGTTGTTTTTCACGCTCGACCGAGTGTGTCCTCGGCCGAGGTCTTGATTCGTTTTTCACGCTCGACCGAGTGTGTCCTCGGCCGAGGTCTTGAGTTGTTTTTCACGCTCGACCGAGTGTGTCCTCGGCCGAGGTCTTGAGTTGTTTTTCACGCTCGACCGAGTGTGTCCTCGGCCGAGGTCTTGAGTTGTTTTTCACGCTCGACCGAGTGTGTCCTCGGCCGAGGTCTTGAGTTGTTTTTCACGCTCGACCGAGTGTGTCCTCGGCCAAGGTCTTGATTCATTTTTCACGCTCGACCGAGTGTGTCCTCGGCCGAGGTCTTGAGTTGTTTTTCACGCTCGACCGAGTGTGTCCTTGGCCGAGGTCTTGAGTTGTTTTTCACGCTCGACCGAGTGTGTCCTTGGCCGAGGTCTTGAGTCTAGGAGCTCGTTAAAGCTGAAAATATTTCTTGTATTATTATTCACTGGGGTATCTCGTTAAAAACATTGCTTAGCAAAAACCTTTTCACGTTCTTTAGGGATAAAAAGCTAAGTAAGGAAAAGAGTACACCGAATTACAATGTTTTTCAACTGTAATACACTTTCAAATGTGTTGTATTCCATGTTCTTGGCATTAACTTTCCATTTAATTCTTCTAGCTTGTATGCTCGCATGTTTTGATTAATTCTGTATGGTCCATCTCAATTGGCCGAGAGCTTTCCTTCCCTTAGATTCTTTCTTGCTTCTCAATTGGCATAGCCTCGGCTCTAGCTTGATTTCTTGATTCAGTTAATTCCTCCATTTTCATGTATTTTTCAGCCCTTCTCCTCAAGTTATTCATATCCAACGGAGGTTTTTTGCATAAACTATCTACAAAAGGTCCGGGTTTCAACGCTGTGTTCAACCTATCCATTGCGACAGCTAGGTTCAGGTTTTTTATCTCCATTGCGATTTTGTTAAAACGATCCATAAATGACCTTAAGGATTCCTTCTTTTCCTGTCTGATGTTGGCCAACGCCAATGATGTCAGTTGGTAAGGTCTGCTTGTAGCAAATTGTACTGTAAATAAAGATGTTAGTTCTTCAAATGAATTTATGGAGCTGGGGGAAAGCTTAATGAACCAACTCAATGCTCGTCCTTTTAGTGAAGTGGGGAAGAGGCGACACAAAGCAGCGTCTTCTGTTGTCAGCAAGGTAACCTGTGTGAGATATGCATTCAAGTGGTCATCGGGATCTGAGGATCCATCGTACTTCTCTAAAGGAAGGTTTCTCCAACTATCAGATATGGTTGCCTCCATAATGTTTTGAGTGAAAGGGTGCTTGTATGAGCCGGGTGTTGCCACTATCCGAGAGGGAGGTTTCCCAGGATTGGTTGATAACTACATGAGAGGAACGTGTGTTTTTGGAGTTGTCGGTACGTGATATGAGGAGGCCTCATTGTTGGGTTGTTCAATAGGGTTCCAAGTTCTATTCAAGCTTCTCAACTTGGCATTTTCTCTCCTGAGTACTTCAAGCTCCTAAGCGTCTCTTTCTCGGGCTTTCTTGACAGCTGTTATTTCTTCACGAAGCATATTCACAGATTTTGAGAGATCAATTTGATCTTCCACAGCAACCGGCCCCGAGTCCTGTTCAGGTTGAACCGAGTGGTTGTTGTTCCTGGTAATGACCATCCTCTACAAAATCTTCTTCCTGCAAAAGAGATAAACAATGTGGGCCTTCAAAACGGGCCCCACGGTGGGCGCCAAAATGTACCTGCACGAGGGTACTCCGATAATTTTGCTACTCCTGCTGGGTCTTCGTCTTCCATGAGGTATCCTAGGGAAAGAGAGGGGTACCTGCAAAAGGCACTCTAATGCTTAAGTCAGTCCTCGGTCTCAGAGATATCAATGCTAATCAAATTGGTAATTATCAAAACGTACCTCTCTTTGTCACTGGTCATACTTATTTATACTAACCTTGATGGGTCAGGCCCATATGCAGGCCCATAAGAGGATCCATTAATGATACGAGAAGTCTTCAATGTGATCGCGAGGAGTTATAGATTCTTCTAAGGTGTTTTCCCTAATATTCATATCATTATCCGGTATAAGTTGGTTATCTGGCCAAAACCATAGGCTTTGATATCATTTGTTGTGCATTGGGTATTCTTACACACATGTCTCCACGCTAATAAGATGTTCGATCAAATCAATCTGACCAGCCAATTCAAAATATTTTCAAAATTATGGTAAATATGTATGTATGAATGTGTGTGGAGATATATATAATTAGCTTAATATCTTAATTATTTCATATTAGAAAATATATTCGTCACAATTACCATAATTATATATTTTATAAATCATAATAAAATAAAAATAATAACTCGGCAACATTTTAACAAGAAATAAAAATCGATGTAGAGATATCACTTGATATTTGTCTAATATTCTTTTATAATTATAATATTTTAATGTTTTTTATATGTTACTAAAACTTATAATAATTTTTTTTTTTGGGTTCGTACCTGGAGTATTCACCGCCGATAGCAGTGACTAATCTCCTCGCTACGTTGGAGGCACCTCAAAGGGTGGGATAGCTGGCCCCAAGATTTAACGCAGCTGCATACACTAATTTTTTAACAATATAAATTATATTTTAAATTTATAATATATAATTTATAATATGACACTATTTTTTTTTGTCATTAAAAAATTATTTTAAAAATATTAAAATTTAATTTTTAAATAAATATGATAAATAAAATTTAAAATAAATAATAGTTTATTTTTTGTTTTTGCATGAGTGTTTTAAGACTTTATCTTAAATTAATCTAGTTCAATCAGGAAATAAATAAAATCTGTTAAGAATTGTTTTTATAAAGGATCAAACTCGGGTAATGCAACCTTGAAATTTTACACATTAACAACTAGATAATAAGTTAAAAAAAATCTTGAAAAATTCTCCCACCAGATAAAAGTGTCTTAAAATACTTTCATTAAAATAAAAGTTTCAAAATGCTTTCGCACAACACAACCAACCGTGTTTAAGAGTAAATTAATAATAAATTGATGACTTAAATATGTTAGTCTCTAAAAAAATGGATGAATAATTTTTTTTTTTTAATCCCTCTAAATTGTGAAACTTTTGTTTTAGACCATATTATTATGTGACACTTTTTACTACTTACTTACTTATTAAAATGTCCAATGACTATCCTAGATATTACTTACAACTATATGTAATATTTGACAAAGTATGAAATCTAAAAAAAAAAAAAATTATAAATCTTTAAAATAAATATTACTTATATATCTTTAAATTATCTGATAAAAAATAGTAACTTTAACTATATTATTTATATATCTTAAAATTATCTAATAAAAAATAATAACTTTAACTATATTATTTATGTATCTTAAAATTATCATTAAAAATCATAATTTTTACTTATTATAAAGAATAAAAAAATATTTATAAATTAAAAAAATTACAAAATCAAAATCAAAACTCTCTATATTTAAGTTTAAATAAATAATAAATAATTGATAAACAAGTATATTATAATTATTATGGATAATAAATTACAAACAAATATATATGACATATTTGAAATTAAATTAATAATAAATGCATTATCTGATAAAAAATGATAACTTTAACTATATTATTTATATATCTTAAAATTATCATTAAGAATTATAAATTTTTATTCATTATAAAAGAATAAAAAAATAATATTTATAAATTAAAAAAAAATTACAAAATCAAAAATCAAAACTCTCTATATTTAAGTTTAAATAAAAAATAAATAATTGATAAACAAGTATATTATAATTATTATGGATACTAAATTACAGACAAATATATATAACATATTTGAAATTAAGTTAATAATAAATGCATGTATCTTTATTTAATATCGAAACAGATTTATTTATAAATAAATAACATTGAATGAAAAGATTTTTCTGCGAAACTCGTGTGTGTTGGACTTGAGATAACAAAACGCAATATTTGACAAGATACTTGCCATTTGCAATGCAGTTGCAATCCCTTATTTATCGCAATCTCTTTCTCCCTTTCGTTACAGTTTCAATTTCAATTTCGCAGCATCTTCCTCTGCAATCTCGCTTATAAATTCCGATCAACCCCAACAAGTTTCAAACTTTTCTTATCATCATCACCTCTCACTCCGAATTCTGCAAGCATGAAGGGTGTTGGATCGTACCCTGATTGGCCATATTACGCGTCCCCAAGTTCAAATTTATCAGCTTTTGCGGCGCCCTTTAGTGTCAATCCTTACACTGCCACTGATGTTTCATCTCACTTGATGGGTCCAGCTGAATCCGCAGAAACCGTGCCCCCAATTCACTTCCCCTCTTATGGCTACGATTTCTTTTCAAACCCTGTGAGAGAATTGGGTTCCAGTGCTCAATTTCCTCATGTGGGTTTGGCTTCTTATGCGCCAAGATCAAGTTTTGTTGATGCACAACCCTACCGTGCTCCCTATGATCAAGCTTCTTCCGTGACACCTTATCATTGGCCTCCTGGGACATCCTCTTTGGATTGGCCCTCTCTCGCGGATGCTAGCAAATCGCCCGAATTAGGGTTTTCTGGTGAGAGTGCTGTTCCGTGGGACCCCTTTCCTGAGTTCAATGTGAAACAGGTTGGACTTGGGAGCAGTCTCACCCCAATGAATACAAATGCTGCTGGATTGACTGTTGAAGAAAGGATGAACCAAAACCAAGGTTTTTTTTTGTGTCCCTTGTCTTGTTTTGGTGTTTTTCAATTTGTTGTGCTTGATGTAGATGCATCATGTTTCCTTGTGTTGACTAAAGGGTTTTTTTTGAAAATTTAAAGAGGGCATTGAGAAATTTTAAGTAATCTGAATGTGTTACACTGTAGAGAATTGACTTTGTAATACTATGTAATATGATAAAATTTAGTCTCTTGAGAGAATGAGAGTGTTGCTCTCCATGTAAGTGTACTCACCCCATGGCGTGTTGCGTCTAACCCCCATCCATAATTATTGCAAAGTGGGAAGTGAACTTTTTATCTTTTATGTTGAAAATAAGTGTTTTTTTTTTTTATATATTTTTTATTAAATGCAGGGAATCAAGACGTGAAGGATTCTGCTAGTGATGAGGTTCCTCATAAGATTGATTGGGAAAAGAACATTGTGCCTGCAAGTGGAAGTTATTTACCTGATACATCTGGCTGGTGGAGAGCTATGAAACCCATGTCGGTTGAATGTTTAGGTTTAGGTGCATCTGCTTTTCCATTCCCTTCAATGTCTCCTGAAACTCTTCAAGAGGCCCCTTTGAAAGTAGTTGCTGATTCAGAAAAAAATCATTTATCGAACAATGATTCATATGACAGGCACTCGAGGGGTGTTGATAAATCATCAAGAGTTGATACTGTTCCTTCAATGCCTAGAACAGAGTTGGTCACAAATTTGAATATTGACAATATTATTGAAGATGAACATGTTGGGCACAATGATTTCTATAATACAAAGGATGCTTATCACATTCCTAATTCTGGAACTAGTGGTTGCTTTGATTCATCTTATCTCCATTTGCATCTAGGAAGAAATGAGTCTTCCTCATCAAGCAAAGCAATGATTTCAGACAATAATGTTTCAAGGGATGTTGTTGATTTTTTATTCAGAGGAGGGCATGAATTTCAAAATCCTTGTGCAAATGTGGATAGTTCAAGCTTGAGCTTCAGTGCTATTGCAGCTCCCAATTTTGTTGTGAAATCTTTCGAGGATGGTGACCGATGCAATCCTGCTGA